AGAGTGGGGAAAAGAGAAAGAAACGAAGAGAAGATGATAAGGAAGGATTTTTACTATTATATTAAATTATATTAAATTATATTAAATTTTTACTATTATATTATATTAAATTTAGAATTACTGGAAAAAATAGTAATATAAGCAGAAAAGGTAGAACCTCGGTAGAAGATTTTCTGTATCCGCTGTGATTGTTCGCGGTAACATCGTTGCCACTAATTTTGTTTCTTCTCTTCGCGGTTGGCATAGCTGGGAAGTATGTCTGTGGGCAATGTGCTGTATTTGCCAGTTGCAGGGTACGCTGGTAAGTAGCATTCAGGGATTGAATGCCGACGAATCGGCACTGATCGAGGAGAAGGCACACATTGTGGACAGGAATCTGGAGATGCTTCGTCTCGGCATCGAAGAAGCACAGGTTCGCATCACTCTGCTCCCTGTTAAAATTTGATAAGCTTACCTGTAGTGTTAGCCTGTCGAAGCGCAAAAGTGTGGCTCTTTCTGCAGCCGTTTGCTTTGCGCGTTTGCTATGATACTCACCGTACTGCGTCGGACTGTTGTTTTTTATGCGTTTTTGTACATTTATGCAAAAAATGCATGTTGAAAAGAGGTGATGGCGCGTCGGTGTGTTCGCACAATTTCAACTCGGCAACGGTGAAGCGAGGAGGCTGAAATTTTTGGAGCATGTTCCCATCGCATGTGCGATGCCCAGTTTTTAAATTCGTCCTACACATACGCTTGAGTGTTCAAATCAAAAAACATTTGACTGAGCGAAGGAACAATGAACGCAAAAAATTTATGTTAGAAAAAATATTTGCGCATAGGTTTGTTTTCCTCTGTTACAGTACGGCGTTTTCAGGTGATGGTTGCGTTAGCGGGGCATCTGCAGACTGTTGAAGCGGAGAAGCAAAAATTAAAAGCACAGGTGCGAAGGTTGTGTCAGGAGAATGCATGGCTCAGGGACGAACTGAATTCCACACAGCAAAAACTACAAGCCAGTGGACAGGTGTCGTTTGTGTTGTTGCTGTTGTTGTTTTGGCAAACATCCAAAACATGTATTGTCCCGTCAAGCGCCGTTAATTTCAGCAAGTGGCACAACTGGAGGAAGAAAAGAAGCACTTGGAGTATATGAATTCGATAAAAAAATACGATGACCAAGAGGTAATTATGCTAAATTTTGCTTCAGTGAGTTTGACTTCAGCAACTCACTCCTTTCACGCACAGCTTCAGTTTTTCGCATCGCTAATGAACCGAAACATTTCTTACCATTATAATAATTTTATTAAAGTAATCTTACGATTTTCACTAATTTTCAAATTTTTATTTCCTAATTTTATCTTCTATTCTCCTTCCTATTCAATCTACCTTTCTATTTTACTAGCATTTTTGGACTTTTTTTTTGTATAGCAGATGAGGCGTTTTGCATTTTCGCTAAAAATATGCTACGCTAAAATTTTTCTTTTTTTTTTAAGAGAGAAATTTGGAAAACAAACTGTTGTTATTGTTGTTTCAGGAAAATGATAAGAGTGTGGATCATAGTGACACTCGTAATGACAATACCCTGCAGGATCTAGGCTTTGGCCCGGAAGAGGACGAAGAAATGAGTGGTAAAGAA